GATTTTCCTCAGAAAAAAGCACTCTTCCCTACTTTTCCCTTACATGTCTGTTGTGTTGGGGGTGGAAAGAGGTCAGGTGGTGCATGCACTGTGAATGGTAGAAAGTACAAAAGGGCCAGGAACATGGAGAGCTTCAGGGAGCAATTTATGAGAGAGGGAACACAGAGAACGTGTTTGCAGCAGTGGAGAGGAGCAGGCAACAACATGAGGCCAAAAGGTTAAGAAGCAAATGAAAATGAAGAGACTTTTTTTTCTTTTTTCTTTTAAATCTAATCTGTTTGAGGTGGGTAGGGATGATGTGGGCAAAGTGGTGATTTAGGAACATTTTGGATTATGTGTTGGATAGACTGGTGATGAGAAAGACAGAAGGTAGAGATGTGGAAAGAACAGTTAAGGGCCTGACGTGAAGAGGGAATAGACTGTAGTAATAACAGTGAAAATAAAAAGAATGACAAAAGAGCACCTGAAACCAAGGAAGAAATATCTGTAGCAAAACAGTAAGTGTAGCTGACAGCATTTCAACAAGACATTATCTCCTTTTGTGTGTATGACAGAATATTTAATTAGGAAATTCCTAACTGGTTGAATGATTGGATTAAATGAGCATTAATATCACCTGGTGGTGATTTTGAAAAGTAAGGCAAAGGGCTGTTGGCAGATGTCTTGTTTTCCTTTGAGCATTGTTGTGAAACAGTAGTTTCCAAAAAGAATAGAAGAAAAGTTAATTGCTATCTTTGGACAGCATTAAGCCGAGAAGGATCGAGTATAAACTAGATGATAAAATTAGGAGTCAAAGTGACGTGAGTTGACTAAAACAACAGAGTAACACCGATAGATGTAAAATTCTGTTCCTTGGGATCAAAAAATCAGTAACAAAACACAAAGAGAGCTTCCTTAAAATGAGTGGAAAAGCAACAGACAGTTTTGGTTGACAGGTAGAACGGAAAAGGTGTGTTCTAGAGTCAGACAAACCACGCCTTGAATCTTGGCTCTTACAAAAATGTAAAGGATTTTCAAATACGAGGAATGACCCAGAAAAGAATGAGACAAACTAAAGGTCAGTTTGAGCATCAGTGAGGAAAACCAGGTAAAGAGTGTGAACTTTGGTCACCAGCAAGTTGGAGCATACTCTGAAGCTGAGGACAGGTATAAAGTTGAAGGTGGTTTGGGTTTAGGTACCAAGATAGTGAAACGCCGAGGAGGCAAAGCCAGCTAGGTAAATGTCAGAGCAGGAGGAGGTAGCCAACTTGAGTGCCTTGGTTAGGATGGAGTCAATGAAAGTTACTAGGCTACAAAAAGACTGGGAGATGATGGAGGAATGAAGCAGTCACATTTGGTATAGAAAATAAGATGAACAGATTTAAAGGGCTTTTACAAAGCAAGAAAAAGATAGTTTGGAGGAGATACCAACTATAATCGTAGAGACTGAACAGCTGAGAAAGACTGGCCATCTTCTATTTGTGACCATGTTGCTGAGTAACACAGGGTAAAAAAAAAGGCTATCATGACCCACGTGGGAAACTGCGTATTGGTTAAAACAAATGAGGAAAATATGTAGGTTCTTCTGAGTTGATGGTAAAAGTGATGCCAGCCTTGTGTTATCTGGAAAAGCAGGACGAGCATAAAATTAAAAGATAAAAGTAGTAAGGGGTCCACTAGACTCTTTAGAAGGGGTTTGGGGGAGGTGTACAAAAGCAGCAGAAAAAAGCCAAGCCGGAATGGAATGAGTTGAAAATCAATAGCTTCCTAACTTCCATACAGCATCCAATGATCTTTTTAAAGGTCCAACCACATTGCTGCTCTGCTCAAAATCCTCCACTGACTTTCCATCAAGAGCCAAAGTTCTTCCCAAGGCTTGTAACTTTAAGGTTAGGCCAAGCCTCCCAGTCTGTCACCAAGCTACAATCCCTTCACTGGTTCACTCCACTCCAGTTACATGGCCTCTTTGCTGTTCCTAACTTGCCAACCACTATTTACTGGAAGGCCTTTCCAGACAACCAAGCAGCTGGCTCATTCACTTCCGTTAGGTCTCTGCTTAATGTCATCATATCTGAGATGGCTTCCCTAACTACACTACGTAACACAGCATCATCCCCTACCACCTGACATAGGCCCAACTCTCCCACCTACTAGAGCATAAACTCCTTGAGAGGGAATGACATTGCTTTGTTCTCTTGAATCTAGAACAGTATGAAATCCAGTACTTGCTGAATGAATGAATGGAGAGTGGGAGATGGAAAGGACGTGAAAGCAGTAGGCAGATAATTTTAGGGGCAGGAAAAGTGGGCAGACACTCGGGTAGTGCTCTTAGAAGTTGAGTCCCAGACTCCAGAAACTTGGTGTGGCTTCATTGTTACAATCACCCTCTCTGCGACCATACTTCAGATGTTGAGACCTACTATCCATCCTAAGTCTACAGCAGTGGGAAAGTGAGATTAATGATTTTAGATGCTACAGACTTACCTTTCTCAGAGGGGTTGAAGCTAACTGAAAGAGTAGGCTATGGTTAAAAGATTTAGAATACTAAATTAAAAGCATCACGATTTGAATTTCTAACCTGATACCACAGGTCTCCCTGAGATCCTATTCTTATTTTTTTGCATACATCCTCAAGCTATTCATTAAGGTAGACAATACTTATAATTTCAAAGGAATCCTCACAGAAAAAAATTTTTCAAAGTATTTTATCTTCACTGTTACCGTAAAGATTATAAAAATCAGCAAGCATCTCATTTTTATAGACTGTAAGGGAGGCCGACTATTCACAATTCATAAACATTAATATAAAATGGCATTAAAACAGTAGTGAAATAATGGCTGCAATTTTATTTTAAAAATTGTTAAAATCTAGTGTGCAATAGTTGCTCCTTAGGCTAAATATGAAAGCAGTAAAAATTTTCATCAAGGAAAATACTGCTGGAGGACATATTCTTCGAAATATATAAAACATCCTATTCTTTAGTTTTACAAAGTTTAAGAACAAAAAATGCAGTGTCTCATTAACGTGACAAGTTTATTTTCATTCCAAATATTTTAGGATATAAAGCAATGACCTATTAAATTATCTATGAAACTTAGAATAACCATATCTTTCTTAAAAGTACTGAATCACAACATTCTCTAACCCAAGTACGGTATTAAATCACCATTTTACTGAGTTTATCTTTGATTCTTCAGCTAGACGAGGTCTGATTATAAGGAAAGCTTAGATTATACATCTTAATCAGTGATACTTTTTGCCTCAGTCTCTTGAGCTATCCTCCAGGAAGGTTATGAAGATTCTTAAGATCATTTCTGAAGCATTTGGTATCAGAAAAGAACAGCAAAGGAGCCTTCGAAGTTGAACACAGATTTTTAGGCACTGGGCCCTCCTTAGGTCAGTAAGATGGTAGTACCACAGTAAAGACCAGTAGCCACTGGCTTGGACTCTTGATAAGGTCTGACTTAAGAGCGAATCCTAGCTCACCATGTGACCTAGAACAAGTTACTTAAACTCTTTATGCCTCAGTTTCCCCATATGTAAAGTGGCAGCAGTTGTACAGTGTTATTTACATAATCCATGTAAAGTGCTTGGTATATTGTAGGTATTCCACAAATATTATGCTGTGACGACATTCCTTTTAGTAGCTAAGTATCAGTACTTATATTTAACAATCTGAAAAGTAATTTGGAAATTGTATGATCTTTGTAACTCTGATTTAAATTAAGAGAACTTTAGAGACTTCTGCATTGAACCCATACCCAGACTTGTGTATTACTGATTTGGGACCTATGTTTTCCTAGGATACAGGACTGGTTAAGGAATTTGTGACAAAGCCTATACTGTGTAAACACATATACACGTTTCTTACTTCTAATTCTCTACTTTGGAATCATTAATGTTACATTGTTCAGTAATGACACTGAATTTAGATAATACAGATTAAACATGCTTACATTTAGTATATTCATCTGTAAGCTGAAGTGTTTTTCTAACAAATAAGGAAATGTTAAAGAAGTAGTTCTTAAGACAAAAAGCATAAAAGTAAACTCTCAATTGAGAACTTAAAGGACAAAACTAACAAGCTGTAGGAAAAGTAAATTACATTATAAGGATAATTTCCTTCCGACATACACTAAGTACAGAATACAATTAGAACTTCCTTACTGCGTGAAACATTATTTTTTTATAATGCTTATTCTAAAAGAAAGATTTCTTTCAAGGATCTTTCAAAGATTATTTTAGATGGTATAATTATGCAATAAAAGTATCTTTTTGGTCTATAAATGAGTGTAACACTGGAATTTGAAAAAATAAAGATTGGTATGGGGTTTGGGCATCAGTCTTAAGGGTGGCACAGGTTAAGTGAAAGAAGGCAGTTGCAATATGCCAGGCTTTCTCTAAAAATATAAGAAAAAATGTCAACAAGCAAAGACTTATAGTAACTCCCCTTTCTTATTCAGTTAATTTTACAAAGGGAACTTAATTCAAAATTCAATTGTAATATATATGTAAAACCTAATTTGACAAAATGGAAAACATCCCTCACATCATAAATATGGTACTTTCATAATCATTTAAAGTTCACTCAGTATTTCAAAGTTGCTAATTTAATAGCTTATAAAAACCAACTAAAGGCAATTAGATTAATTTTGTTACCAGAGTTCAGATAATTGCTACTGACAAGTTTGCATTATTTAAGAAAAAATATAAGCTCTTACAGTTAATGTTAAAAACTAAACGTTTCTTAAACAAAAACATTACACTCCCATGGACTGCAGAAATGATCTATTGTGCTGTAAGTATTGAAGATACAGGGTAGGAGAATAAGGACAATATACCCACTTTCATTCTAGGGGCAAGATCATGCATATTAGAACACTGATTCACTGTAACACAACCATAACATTTCAAGTACATTATAGAAGTGTCATCAAATTTTAAAAATTTCAAATAGAAAAAAGTAATTCTAAAATATGATGTCCCGATCAATTTAAATATTCAAAAAGTTCAGTCCCCATTCAGAAACAGATAAACAGTATATTTATTAAATGAGTTAAGACAAATAAACTTTACAAATAGACAAATAATAAAAGGCTCAGTGGCTAAAATAGATGGTAAGCATCATTGAAAGAAATCAACACCATCACGGTATCTCAGTTGGCTTACATGTGTAAAAAGAAATTTTCAAAGAGCAATTTCACAGAAATGAAGCCAGTTTTTTTTTTTTTTTTCTTATAAACAAATCACCATTTCTTGGTTCGAAACTGACATCTGTTATGAAAATTACCATATCACATATTTGTAAGATGACAAGGAGTAACTCATCTTCAAAGTGCAAGTAAGTCTATTTACAACCACAAAAATGGCAATGATGAGGAGAAAGGATTTTTAAAAAATATACAAAGATTAAAAACATTTGGGATGCAAAATTAAACAATTTTTTGGTTAGAGGATAAAAGAGAAAAAGTGATTGAATTATAGATGCTGATTTCAGCTATACATACTATATAATGGGATCCAAGATCTTTAACAGCTTGCTTGCATTTTTTTCTACTTACATAATGCTCTGGAAATTTCTGGTAGAAATTACAGTGTCTCAAAGAGAGAAATACACACTAAGCATGTCTTGCTACTACTTCATGGATGTCAGAAGACCCGTTTATGGATTAGAGTTGGTGTAAAAAGCCATTGCCTTGAGTTGAAAAATGAATACTGTAAAAGCTCAATACAAATCCTCCAAAGCACATGCACTTCTAAATCTTTTGGTAATTACATTCATATTTAAGCATAACCAAAATAAAAAAGAAAACTGAAAACATTCCCTTTTCTCTAGTCCCTATGCCTTGTAGGCTCTCCAGTTGATAGGGTCAATTTTTAGAGTTGAAAGGGTTCTTCAAGATAGATTAGTCCACCACCCTTGGTTAGGGTAAATGATTTTCCCAAGGTCATGCAGCACGTAATGGCAAAACCAAGACTAGAAACCAGGTCTTGACTCCTAGCCAAGTATGCTTTCCAGCATATCATGCTACCTCTTTTTACAGTATGGTTTGCTATAAATACCTGATGAATAAATGTACAATTATAAATGCTGACAGAGCCGATGTGTTTTTAAGACTTGCAGAAGATTACTGCAAAGGATTGATGGAGAAAAACAGATTTTCCCCTACCCACCAAAAATATCAAGCACCATCAACTAACTGTTTCTTTGCTGGGTCAGCACTCTCAGATGTTGTAGTAGTCCTCGTAAACTTTATGTCAGCCTGAGGATTGTATATCTGGTGAAATCTGGGCCCTAACACAATGCCAGTTCCTAAAAGGTAAAGACAGAGGCAATAAAGGGGAGAAGGTAGACAAAAGAAAGAAACAAAGATTTAAAGAATCCAGCTGACTTAGAAATGGGCATTCTAGCACATGATTAATTATTATACCTAAATATATATTTTTAGGACCCTTTTCACCTTTTCATAGAATCTCATTTTAACTAATCTGTTATTTGGCCACTTAAGAATTAAAATAAGTGTATCAAAGACAATGGTGGTCATTATTTTTTTTAAAACTGTGAGACTATTTTAGACAAACTAAATTCTATGAAGAATATGTCAAATGGTGAAATTGCGATAGTTTTCTTAATCTGGTTCTATTAGATTATCACCAAGGAATTAAAGTGGTAATTCATGGGGCTGTTACCATCTTGAAATTTATTCCAATTGTGGTGAAAGAGAACAGACTGATGCACCATATATGCAGAATTGAGTAAAGAAACGGAAATTTCTTTAAAAAAAATTGCTGTGAATTTATTTAATAAAAGGGCAGATTTATTTATGTTTACAAACAAGTTTCAAAAACAAAAGGAAAACATGTATGCTTCTACTTATTAACCTTTTCAAAATGCCAACAGCCCTCATGCTGTATGAAGGTTTCTAAGGATTAGAAAAAGCGATACAGTTCACTCACAGTTCACCAAGACATCACTGAACTAACAGGTTTAGACAAAAACAAAAAAGACTAAGGTTCTCTTGTAGTTTGATAGTTTGATTTAATTTGATTTGCCTGAAATAACAAAAGCATTTCAAGCATCTTTCATTATGCAGTTGATGTCCCGCATTAAACAATCTACTAAATTCTGAACAAAAGGTTATTAGCAAGTTTTCAAAAATTTTAAAAATTAAACAGTTGTTTCAAAACCATTAAGTAGTAAATATATTTAAGAAACTAATTAGGACAGATGCCATAACTTCATTAGAACACCACTGCTCATGTTTTTTTGTTTTGTTTTGTTTTTGTTTTTTTTTTTTTAAACAAAGCATTAGTGTTATCTATTTGGCTATTAGTATTAGCAATTTATCTACAATATTTAACAAGTTAAATTGTAGGCAAAAATTTAGTACAGTTTCAATAGAAACACCCTTTTTTTTTTTTCCTGAAAATACAGCAGTATTTGAAGGACTAATTTTTCTCTGCATCAGTTATAAGGAAGCTTCCCATCTATGAACAGGAACAAAAAAAGTATCTACAAACCTTGTAAACAGATCTGTATCATTTATAAACATAAATAATCCAAATTATTAACAGCCAACAGCAGAAATTAAAGTATCAATTCAATGATCCAGGGCTCTTTGCTTGCCCAGCTTTACTCCTCCCTCTCTCCCATCAAGGATTGAGATAAACTAAAGCTCTGCTAATATACTGTTCGGGACCACTCTCAGGTACTACAGATGATCCACAGGTCAACTTATGCTGAGTTACTGTTTATCTGTCAGTTCATTTCTCCCACCCCCCAAAAAGCACCCTCAGTCTGGCAGAAAGCTTTGCTTTTTTTTTTTTTAAAAAAATAAATCTACATTCGTACAAGTGTGTCTTCTGTTGAAGTCCAAAGACAAGAATACTATCTTGTCTGTCACAATATGTGAAGAGACCCAGTTTCAATTTGTTTCTTTACAATGCAGCTAGTGTGTTAACATTCAGCTTACAATCAGAGTGATGTTTCCAAACTGTGTAGTGGGCTTCCTGGGGATGAAGAGGTAGCAGACTTGTTCATTTCTATTGTAAGGTAAATCCCGCTGTCAACAGCATTGTTATTTTTGTTGGGAGAGGGTGGAGGACTGGAGTTACGTTTTGTAGGAGCATCATCTTCAGCATCAGTGTCATCAATAAGGGGGATGTGAGGCTCTGAATCTTCTATCCTAAACTCAGGATGTGTCATAAAGTTGTGAATCGAACTTCTTGATTCCGGTTTTTCTAACCCTTCATATAAAGAACTACGAAATGCATTCACCACTCGAATCTGTAAATATCAGAAAACAGAAAAATGTCAGTACACTAGTAGCTTAACTTAAAGATGGTTTATTTATGAGTTTGAATCCACAAACAGCTAGGTATGAGTGAATCATATTTGCATGTAATGCAGTGGAACTTGCAATACACTGTAAAAAAATGAATATTTTAGTAAGACACTACAGAACAACAAAACCACATACTCTAAGAATTAAGAGATACAGAATTCAAAGTAAAACTAAGAAAATCGCATTGTCACTGGCTAAAAATTTAATAGCCATTTTATAGGATTTTTTTCCCTAAGAAAACAAAGTCAAACAACAAACAAATAAAAACTTAACCATACACAAGCTTTAGCTGATTTTTTAAAATAAAAAAATGTAATTTTGAAAACAATTCGAATAAGTTAAACAAGCACAGAGGGTTATTATTTATCATGCTAGGAGTTAGGGTGTCACCGACTATGAAAAAGCCAAGCAAATATAAGCTGAATGCCACAATGAAGTCACATCTATCTCACTACTTCCTTAATTAAAAAATAAAAATAAAGACAAAGTCCAAATAAATATCTATAAAATGCCATTAAACAGCTATAAATATTTGAGTATATGCCACTTGTCTATAAAGTGTTAATAGTGTTTTTCTCTAAAATAGATGAAAACTTAAATTACTTTACGTACTAGAGTTCACTGAAAAAAAAAAAAAAAGATTTAAAAGAAAAACAGAAAAAAACTCCTCTAGGATTCCCCGCTAAAAAAACCACAAAACTTTTCTAGTATTTTTGCCTCAAAACATATAGCTCAACAAGTCACCATCTTCAGAAGTCTGCTGTATGGATGAAAAGAGGTTATTGAGCAACTGACTCGAAAACTTCACTACACACACTGACATTAGGTCTCATTAACCTAGTGTCATACAGACTTTCAAAAAAGAAGACAAAATCCAAATAGTTGAACATTTACCACATATCAATTTAAATACAGCATTTGCCTTTGCTTTGATTCTAATGAATCCTGTTTAGTAATGAAGACATTATTTACTCCTGTTATGAGAATTAGCTGACACTGACATTCCACATAAAAAAAATGCGGTCACCGAAATCGTCTCGTAAAACAATAATAAAGAAACTAATAAATTTCTTCAGAGACATTTGAATGTATTTTTTCATTTAAATGTATTTTTAAAAAATTAAGTTTATGTCTACGTTCTTAAAATTGTATATATTTAAGATGTACAAATTGATGATTTATGTATACATTGTAAAATAATTGCTATAGTCAAGTTAATTAACATATCCATCACCTCACAGTTACCATGTATGTGTGGTGAGAAGTTAGTATTCTAGCCTCTTAGCAAATTTCAATTATACAGTACAGTCATCATGTTATACATTAGATCACCAGAATTTACTCGTCTTGCAAAACTGAAATTTTGTACCCCTTGACCAAGACCTCCCCATTTCTCCCTACCCCCAATAATCCACTATTCTACTTTCTGCTATGAGTTTGACTATTTTAGATTCCTTCTTCTGAGAATTTACCTAAAGACACAAAATCAGGATCCTGAAGACATACTTGTACTCCTATGTTCCTTGCAGCATTACTTACAATAACCAAGATAGGGAACAAATTAAATGTTCATTGACAGATGAATGGACAAAGAAAACATGGTATATTCACACAGCGGAAGATTATCCAACCTTAAAAAGAAGGGAAAACTACTATTTACAATAACATTTGCCCAGTTCTGATTAGAACCTCATCTCTCCTCAAAGTTGTCTTCTCTGACTTACTTACTAAGCCCTGCCTGCAGGCTGCTTTACCCCTTGTTCACTTAGGCTTTCATACAGAGGAAGAATACAGCACAGATGACTGAGGAAGACCTGGTAAAATGTCTGGGTGTAAATGCCAGCTCTGCCACTTACTAGCTGAGGAACCTTAGGCAAACAGATTTCCTCAACTATAAGATAAGTAGTAACAATGGTACCTACCTTACAGGGTTGTACGGGAGATTCAATTAGTACACGTACAGACTCAGAAGAGTGTCAGCTCTCAAGTATCAAAGTTAGGGCTTCTCAAACTTTAATGTGCAAAGGAAGCACCTGGGGATCTTGTTAAAATGCAGATTCTGATTTATGCATTTCTAACAATGCCCCTGAAGCTGCTGGTCCATAATCCACACTTTGAGCTGCAAGCATCTACTCTATGTTGTTGTGCTACTTTATCATATGCCAGTTTATAATTCTATTAATGTGTTTATACTTTAGTTCCTTCATTTGACAGACTATTAGCAGCAAATACATTTCCAATTTCCTGTACTGCTCTTGTTCCCGTTTACTAAGATGTAAAGTGTTTTACATATGGTGTGTAAACTAGGCTTGCTAAATACACCATTACAATTATTGATGTAGTTGTTTTTTACTGTGAAATCTTACAATTCACATTTTATATATGTGGACACTTAACAAGTATCCCGACTGTCCTAATAAGAGGCTGTGCACTTAAAAAAGCAAAATGATAACCCCCCGCCCCCTCCCCCAAAGGAAAAATATCTGTCGGTGTCAGTGGTGAGTAGGCACGGAGAACACAAACTGGAGGCTCAGTCAGCAAACCTGATGGGTGATGAAGACTACTCAAGATGCCCTGAAACTGTTGCTTGTTTGACTTGGTTGCAGACAATGCTTCTAATAGAGCTAGAGACAGGTAAGTTTTCTGTTTTGTTTTGACCAGGGGATAGGAGAGTAGTGAAAAATCAAAGGAGAAATAAATTTTTGGAACACGTTAAATCTGGGGAGCTGCAGAACATCCAGGTGAAAATATCTAGAGCTCAGGGGGTTAGCGATCTGGGAGTTGGGGAAGCTCTAAGGGCAGTGTAAAGAATAAGCAGGTGAGGGCAGTCAGTGTGTGTGTACTCACAATTACACACACACACACGCACTTGTGACAGGTAAAATTAGATGAGATTCCTTTTTATCGAAACTTTTTAATTTTGGTTAAAATGCTGTTTTCTTTCTGAAAAAATTTACTCTGATGAAAACATCAGAGCTTGAAAGGTTATTCGACCTACTTTATTCTAACAACTTTACAAATGATGAAACTGAGCAACTGAGAGGACGGGTGGCTGACCGCTCATGTCACTCCTCATCAGTGCCAAAGTGTCTGAGAACAAAGTTTTCTGGACTCCCAATTCCAAGTTCTTTGACAATCAATAAAAGAGATTATGTGGATGTTAGCTTTAGCTAACGTCACTAGAATAAAATACTTCCTAAGATTAAGGTTAATGCTGTCTTCCTCTGACTCTACTACTTATAGCCACATGACTGGACAGGAATAGGATAGCTCGAAAATGCTCCAAAGCAATACAATTTCAAAGAACAGTTCTCACAGAAGATATATGCAATAAAATCTGGAATAATCAGGGGTCATTGAACCAGATTTGTTTTACTTTCTACTTATAAAGAACATTAACAAAGCACTCAATCTGAAGCATGACACTGAGCTAACTTACACTTTCTCTGATCTTTCTTACCTTCTATATGTAAAATTCTCACAGTACAGTAGTAATTCTGAGTAACTAAAAGCACAACTGTGTGTGTAATACTTTAGGTATGTAAGAAACTATTTTAATGCCGCAAAGAATTCTGTTTAAGCAGGAAAATAAATAACCTTAACTACCTCTTTTTGACAATACAAACCTGTTTATTTAAGTCTTTTAATAATTTCGTTAATATTTATTAAAACCTATTATGTACAACATAATTATAACTCCTAAAAATTAAGAAAAATCCAATAATTCCTATGTCAAGAAAAAATTTTAAAGAGTAAATTCAGAGGGAAACATTGCATGAATCATATATGGTAAACAAAAAAAAAGTCAAAGTGATTATCATGCAATAATTTTGAGAAACTGAACATGATTATCAAGGTAAACAATACATTAAATTTAAGTAACAAATCGAAAACAAAATCATTTACCCTGCTAACCCACCCATTTTCCTAAATACAATCTTAACTTTTGAGTATCATTGCCCAAAACATGGTATACAAAGGCAGCTCTAAAATATGGGATGATTTTAGTCATTACCTGATATATCTTACCTTCCTACTGCAGATTGCCCATTCCTGAAATTTGTATTCATTGTTACTTTTACTATGTGCATTAATTTAAAGAAATACAGTGGTAAAACAAAAGATACCATGCACCAAAAAAAGAAAATCCTAGGTCATTTTCCAAAGTTGGGTATTTGCACATCGTATTTTCTCAAAGTTAAGATCCACTTGTGTAACGAGTAGTGGAAATTGGCAAACATTTTCTGTAAAGAACCAGAGAGTAAATACAGGCTTTGCACTCCACATGGTCTCTGATGCAACTACTCAACTTTGCAAGTGTAGTGCAAAAGCTACTATGGACAATACTTAAACTAGTGTGACTCTGTTCCAATAAAAATTTATTTTCAAAAACAGGCATCAGGCCAGGTTTGACCCATAAGCTACAGTTTGCCGACCCTACACCTAGAAGACCAAATTTTCTCTCAATTTCTCCTTTCCAACAAGGGTTAACTATTCATTTAGCAAAATAATTTATTAATGGTGAAGACTGATATTAGAATAATATACTTTATAAATAAATAAAACTATAGAATGTTTTCTCTAGAGATCCTTAGGAATAAAGATTTGACTAATAAAAATGAGGGGGAAAAAGATACTCTCTCCAGAGATGTTTCAAGCCTAGTATATGACAAAGTCAAAATGGATTATTATTTCTTCCATTTAGCAAAGGAAACACTCCAAAAAACAGTCGAAGAAATTTTGACATCCATAGACTATTCTAAATCAGGGCAGGAACACAGTGAGGAAATCGAACCTTTCATTACACATATTAACACTACTAATTAATTCTATACATTGGCTGGAGGTTCTGTACTTAGCACCTAAGACAAGGCTTCACTAGCAAGACTGATAGAAATTTATAGTAGCAGCAACATAATTACTGCAACTGTTAATGTATAATGATAACCTCATGAACAAGATATGCATCAGCCCACAAAACCTCCTTATGGTCCAAGTACACAGAATACAAAATAAAGAAATAAACATCTCAAACCTTAAAGAAGCAACAACTAGGAATTTGCCCTTGACATTCTGAAGTATACCTCTATCACCCTTGAAACATGAGCCCAGCAACTCAAGTCTCAAGTATAGTTGTCCATCAGAAAAGAACCTGGGCAGGTATGGGTAGTTATATCTTAAAACAGAGTTAATGATTGACCTAATATTTAATATAAAGCTCAGAACACAATTATACAGATAAAGTAAATATAGTATACCTCAGGTCATGTGACACCCCTCCAAACAAAAACAGTAAGTTATTTAAAAGTTTGCTGAAATAAAAATAGATAGAATATACATCACCCAGGAGATAAACTTGTCAGAAAAGTTTAACATGAAGCTAATCATGAGAAAACAATAAAAAAAAATTCAGACTGTAGGACACTTTATAAGACAATTGGCCTTGATTCTTCAAAAAAAATCAATGTTCTGAAAAATAGAGAAAAATGGATCCAGGTTAAAAGACACTAAGAGGTCTTAACTGTCGATGATTCTTTCTTGGATCCTGGATCAAAAAAGCTTTTGATAAAAAACATTTTGGGGACAACGGCAGAAATCTGAATATGGATTGTATATAAGTTAAAATGGCATCGATGTTAAATTTCTTGGATGTGATAATATAGTATGATTCTACAGGAGACTTATTCTTCTTAAGAAGTAGGTACAAGCTAACGTATTATGCAATGTCATGATATCTGTCACTTTCAAATGGCTCAAAAAGTACACATTAATATATACATAAAGCAAATGTCATAAAATATTAAGAAGCGGTAAATCCAGGCAAAGGGCATTATTCGTGTTTAAATCTTTCAACTTGTCTGCAGGTGTGAAATTTTTCAAATTTAAAATTTTGAGTGCAAGAAGAGTCTTTCAGGATAGTTTCCTTTTGGATCGTTGTTATAGGATATAAACAGATCTTTACCTTCCGTTCTGGCCTCGTAACTTTATATTTTAATTACTGTGTTAGTACCAAACTATGTCACTGAAACTCACTTTTCTCAACTGGCAAATTTTATCAAGAATCAGCTTGGGAGTCATTTCATTCAACTTCTCAGGGCACATTAAGGATCCTGTTATTATATTCTGTGTTTCGTTACCTTTTTGAAATTCCCAGCTACTTGTTTGTTTCACTAGACTGGAAGGTCTGGAGGTTCTAGCACAGCCTTGGCACATGGTAGGTTTTCCAGAGTGTTTATGGAACACAACTAAATAATCACTAATAGTAAGAGATGGAGGAATAAGCCCCTTAAAGGCAGGGAATAATATGAAATCTATAGATAAAAGGAGGGAGGGATACAACTGACATTAGCTGTACCAGGCATAAGGCTAGACAATTTACATATACAATTTCATTTAGGTTAGGTAGTACCAGGGTGATTTTTAAAAGGAAGATTCCCATCTGTCCAAGTACGTAAATTTAACACCCTGTCTAACATTACAAGGTCAGTTTGTCCTTAGAGTACCTGTCTGCTCTTTGCTCATGCTGTCTCTGCTTATTAGCCACGGACAAGTCATTTAACCTTCAAGTCAGTACTCATGCCTGTAAAATGGGAGATAGTTTCTGTTCTGCCTGTTTTACCATACTGTCAAAAATAATAAATGAAAACTACTTAAGCAAAGAGAACAACAAGGCATTGAATAAACAGTCCTCCTTAAAATGGCACTGTTTTCTCCCTCAATTTATCCTCTCTCTAGCTTCCCAAGATTCCTCCAGTTCTTAACGGCTGAAGACCAAATGGCAAAGGTCTCTGTCCAAATACAAGATTAGCCTTAGGTATCTCAGCTGATTTTGTGGGTGAGTATGAGGCGTGGGTGGGCTTTTATCCCAGTACACTGAGAATCCACCATGAAATCAAGACCCTAATTCACAGTAAGGATGATAAAGGTATAAGGCTTTTGGAGAGTTTGCCATTTACTAAAAACCTGAAAGAAAATTTTTTATTCTAGTCAATTAAGGGACAGTAGGACATGAAATGATTCAATAATTAACAGTACATTTTTCCTGCTTCTTTGGAAAATGTAAAATAACACACTATTTCTCATCTAGGCTACAATTTTAAATTAAGCTGATTATATAAATGAAAAAAGAAACTCATAAATACTATAGAACTCTGAAGCTTATAGTGAGACCACCCCAACGCCCCCCTCAAAAAAATAAATAAATAAATAAAAGAAAAAGGAAAAAACCCAAAAAGGCCACAAAGTCTAGGCTAAGAAGGCAAACAACTGACTATATATTGGGAATTTTTCTTAAGGGTACTATCTTACTCTCCATCCTCAACAAGATAAAAGTCAAAATGCTAAATTCATATTTAGCTTTAAACACACAATTTCTTGGTTCTGTTTATCAGTTTCAAATCACATGCTTCTGGGCACCATGCAGTATGAACATGTTTAAAGGCATATACTCAAAAATTTATAGTAGTTTCACAAATTCTAAACTACAATTTTATTCCCCGTCTTAAATGTCAGAGTTAGCACAGAGACAAGCTCACAGATTTCATATCTAATCTTTGGTTGCAATTGTTCCACCTGTTATCTATCCCTCTAAGAAATAAAACAACAACAATGACAACACTTTGAGGTCTCAATCCACTTTACGAAAAGAAAGCTTTATGAAAAGCCTGAACAAATGAATTTAAACATTAAGGAGAAAATGAGAAACGTTAGGTGTGTGAAGTAGGAAATGTTAATTTCATGCACTTAGGAACACACACTCACACCCCACAGTAGTAGAAGCAGTAGAAGAGGAAAACACTACATGTGTAGGGGTAGAAATATTTGTTACATCATGATGCTGGCTGGCGATGGAGGGTTGCCGCCTTAGAGCCCCCTGAATGGAACTTCCACTCTGGAAAGCATTCACTACATCCATCTGCAAGGAATCAGAGATTGTGACAGCTTGCTCAGCAAGAGAGAGAGAGAACAAGAGAAAGGACCATTCCATCTATCAACATATAAAAAGTAAAGAAAAAGGCACTTTTTACAGAGCAGATAAATAGGCAAGAGTAGCATTTTGTGATGAAGGGGGTGGGGGGAAGCTAGGAAAAGAGGAGCTTAGGGGCATATAGACAATTCTCTCACGATCAGTTAAAACTTTCACTCGTTCCAGGCACCAGTATTATTTTTCAAAAGAATAAGTTTTGTGGGTTGGGATGGCTAGAAAGGAAGTTAAAGAGGGTGTTCAAACCTCCTCCCCAGGTCCAAAAGCCCTGGGCTGGCTCCCACTCCCATCATCTCGCCTACCTCTGTCCAGGTCCATACCTGTGTTTGGATTCTGTTCAGACCTCTAAACCATAGGATCTGGCCACGTCGTAACTCCCTTTCAGCATGATCAATCTCCTCCACATCCTCTGCTAACTCTTCCTCAGGTATTTCTTCCTTTTGTGTTCCATGACCAGCTTCTTTCAGGAATTTTAAACGGCTAGTTGGAATTGTTGAAATTAGCTACAACACAGGGAAAAGAACTTAGAAATAAATCATATTGAGTACGATTAAACCAATCAACTTTAATACAAAGGGTATGAAAAGGTATGAGCAAAACCAACCAACTTTACCAATAAACCAATGCGATCCTATCTGTCAGAGGCTTTCTTCCTCAGAATAAAAAATATTCTGCTTTTAGCTAAACAGAAGATTTAAGTTTGAAAGGTAAAAAGTTTTCCTGAATGGAAATAGCCAGATTACATTTTTTGTATTCTATTTAGGACATTCAAGAGAGTAAATTATAAAACCATGCTCTGA